GTCTTCTGATGTCAGTTTAAAATAAAAACAAACATTTCCAGACGATAACAACCAGTTGACGAAAATTCAAACGCACTAACTACAATGACTTAAAAATATCAACCAGATTGAAATAATGAAATATTTAGATATTATGTATTTTAATTTATATTTAATTTAACTTTTAAGTTTTAAGCATTTTCGTGGTTTTAACTGTCATATAAAAATTATAAAGTAAAAAGTGACAAGCGTTATCAATAATTGATTTTAATAATTATTATCATAGAGGTAGCACACGTGCGTCGTGCACACGATTTATAGACCTAACCTTGGAGCTTGTATAGATTAGTATATCAAAGATAGGTACTATCACTGAGTATCACTATGACAATACTACATACTATACCTAAGCATACGGATGTATACATGTTACATTGGTAAACATCAAATAATTTTAAGGTTATAAAATATAATATCATATATCATTGATAAAATTATATGATAGTTATAATATCAATTATTATCAAACCTTAGATCATATTATTGTATATGATCTGAGTATCAAACGGTATACTGTAGTACTTTGAACTGACTACTGTATACTGTAATAAATTGATAATTCGATACCCGGATTATTAAGGTCGTACAACGGAAGCACTTTTAGTATTATTCACTGTTGACATTTTATAAATTAACACCAATATTCAGATGTCGATAGCTCCTTCAATTATTATCACATAAATGTAAATGAACCGTCAAAATTCATTAAAAATTAAACTGTGCACGAATCATATTTCAAAAATATAGGTTCCCATTTGAATTTTAAAAGTTTACCCTCAAACCTCCCCATCCTAATTAATAAAAAAAATATTTAATATCAAATTAATTTAGATTATATGATTTAAAACAGTTTTCACATGGGTCATTTTCCCCTAATTTAAATATAACATGCTGAAATCTGCTGTCACATGAAATTTGGAACATAGTATCTAATGGATGTTTAGTGTTTCGTGGAAACGATGATATGACTTTTTGCATGACTAGGTATGCAGGATACAGCTGATAACGACATTACGCAATACGGATAAGTCGATGGACCACAACATTGTAAACATTAAGATAAAAGATAAAGATATAGATGAAAGAAAAAGAAAAAGAAAATTAAAGATTAAAACCTTCATAAGAATTTCAACTCTCAAAAAAATTTACCAGTTTCGTATGATAAAACTACAAGAAATTGATGAAACAATGCTTTTATTATAATATAAAAAGTCAAAAATAAAAGATAGTAATTATCTACAGTACGTGTTCAAATTATACATGACACACATTGTTAAATGTTTAAATATTTCATAGATACATATGTATTGGCTGAAGCTATGTTTGAGCATAATATATCAGTAAACTATATAAAACCATAAAATGAAATCACTTGCAAGTTCATTGAAAGTTGATCCATATAATGCTGAAAAAAAAATTATTTCTGAAGAACGCACGAAAGGTTCAATTGATCAGACTTAATTATAATTGTTCCTACTTCTACCATGGCGGTTAAATTGGCGACTCGCGTCGGTATGTAAACTTGTGTGTGTGTGGAACAAATCAAGACAAATTTTGAATCCAGTGAAAGAGGAACTCGTATTGCGTTTTGTTGCATGGCAATATAAACAAAACACAAGAGAACTTATGTAAAAATAATTAATAAATTCCTACGTGCAATACAGGCAATCAGAACTAATAAACCTTAATAACAATATTGATTGCAAGTAACAACAATAACAAATTAATACGACCGTGAGGTTTGATGACAGTGACGGCGGCTTTCGTGATATCAGCGTACGGCGATCCGGCTGCGTTGTACCAGCACGCTCGGCAACGGTGATAACGGAAACGAAGGATCGGACCGATGGTTCGACGTGGAATAACAGCAACAGCAAAGTACGATGTTCGCCAATGGCGGACCCGCACGACGACCGGTTGACGCGACGCGACGTTCAAAACGAGAATCCTAGTACACGGCAGCAGACAACAATACTGGCGATCGTAAACAGCAACGGACGGCAAGAGACGGATCACGTTGTACGAACAGCAAAAACAGCGTACGGAAAAAGACGGATCTCGTTATACGGACTTCCAGAACGCGTACTTAAAAACGCGTCATGACGGACGCCGGACGCGCACACCAGTCGTGCAGGTCCGCAGCATACTAGAGTCTGTTGTGAATAAGATGCTCTTATTAAGAGCTCACCGCCGCCGCACTGCCGCACTCGCGCACTCGCGCGGCCCACGAAAAAAATAGGTAGAAACTCGCGCATGACAGCGAGCGCTGCCGCAGCGTGTTCCGGCGGAGGCAAAGTTGTGTACTATAAGGCAGTGGGGGGACCATGGTACTCTGGTAACACGGCCTAGTACGCACGCTAAACTGATCAAAACGGCGGCGACGTCGATAGTCATCACTCATCAACAATAATAATTATTTGCGATTATCATCAGGTATCCAGTGTTTTTTGGAAATAATAAAAAACATTTTATGTACCGACTACCGAGTAAAGTAGATAATTGTATTACTTTTCAAAAGTAATTTAACCATCACAGCAGTTAGCAATATATTATAATTTTATTTTTGACAAGCGTATAATAAGTACTGACTAAAATATGCATACTTAAGAGGACGTCACACCCTCGTGTGTTGTCACTGTCTTACAAATGTACAAAATAGATTAAAATATAATTTTAGATAGGTAACATAAATACGATAGTAGGTTTTTGCTTCTAAACATTTAGATTTTTTGTTTTTTGCATTCGCTTATAAAAAATGATTTTATAGTGCTATTGAAAAAAATCTCGTTGCACAGATAAATTTCCTCTTGACGTGTTGTGAAAATTTAATAGTTCTACAATAAATAATATGATGTGAGTAAAGTTGTCCCGCGAAAAACAGTATTTGCTATGTTTTACATTAATTGTAAGACAACACATGTGGGTGTGGCGTCCTCTTAACTGTTTATTTTCTGACTAGAGTTGTATACCTATATACAATTACTAATTAGGTATATAAGCTAGGTACTCCTTGACAATTAAGTATTTATTCAAATTCTTCAAATCTTTTATCTTATCTAAATAAATAGTTACAAGGTATCTAAACGTTCATCTTAGATAATTTTTTTACTTTTCTAAATAAATTCATCTAGATACATTTTTTATTGAAAAAAATTTCGCGAAATTGCACAAACGCGCATTTAAATATTTATACAGTTTCTCAAACAAAGTTTATGGTTTATAAATAATGTTATTATTTTTATTTATATCATTATTATTATTATGTTCCTAGTGTTCAACTAAAATATACCTAAATTCAAAACCATTTAAAAAATAATTGTATCTTTTTTTATCTAGATAAAAAAGTATTTATCTTTATCTTTAACTAGATAAAAAAAGTACTTATCTAATCCGAACACTGCAAATAGGATTATTATTTCGTCATAAATTATACACATAATATTTTACAAGAAAATTATTATCGTAGTAAATTATTGTACATGTTTAAATAAAAGTAACTACCTAATTAGATATTGTATTCGAAATATTTTTTCGAAAAAAATTATCAAGTTTGTATACAAAAGAATGTTAAAACTTAAATTCACATTTACTCAACGATTAATAATATGATAATATGTGTAATCGTTTGATGACTAAGTACTATTCAATGAATTCCACTATAATTATCTAGAGGCATCCGTCATCGTAAATTATATTTCGTTTAAAACTATTATTATTTTAATAGTTGAAGATGATTAAAGACGCTGGTTGTCTAGACTTTAGAACAACAATGCTCACACTGTGGGTTGCAAACTTGCAAACAAATTATTGATTGTCGCCCACACAGATATAAAATCTATTTGCTATAATGAGTATTTTGTGTAACTATAGTTTCAAAAGGGTCGTCGAAACCCTTGGTGACATTATAGGTAGCCATGAACTCAAAAATGTTGAGAATCTCCGGTCTAGTTTTATAGACCGTGTCGTATTATACCAGAGTTGTATTTAATGTACATTTTTCTTTACACATTAATAATTATTAAATACTCGCATTTATACCTACATGATAAGTCATATAACTAAATTATGATTCAACTTCTATGTACAGCTCGAGGAATAACTATTATTGGAATAAAATATAGTGTTGTACTATTGTTATACGAAAAATTATGGTATTTCTCCTCTGTCCGACCTTAAGGCTTATTTTCAACGGAAGTCGGGTCATTATAATAATGATTTCTGTTAATCATTATCTAGTATTTTTTTGTAAATATATTTATTATCAATTATTATGTACAGTGTACACATGATGAATAACTAACTATGTAGAGTACTATGTGTTCTAAGAACTATTAATTAGCTAATTAACTCACCAGGTTTTTTTTTTAATTGAATATTTTATTATACAAATACGCGAATAAAAATATAGTATATATGTTGGAATTATAAACAAAACACCCTATATAATGTAGTGTATAAGTAATATATTCACACTGTAGTTCATCAGACGCTGACTGTACATTTTTATAATACTACAGCATAAATGTCTTGTGTAGTGTAGCCGGGTATACATATTACATAGTTAGTCGTTGATTTATATTACGCCTCGTAACACTATTGTACATCGTATCATTATACTTATTATTATATTATATATATATCCGATTTTATTATTATTTACCTTTAACTTCTGTATATCTGTGTACTTCAACAGGTTATGGGCCCAGTAGTAAGGTCTTTATAATAAAGTTGTGAATAGTTATTAAAATAATAATTGATTAACGAATTGCGTGTTTTTTGTGTACAGACAGTGTACATCAATAATAATTCGCGAAGTAAGTGCAGTGTAGTGTGGGTGCGTTTCTTAGTGTGCAGATAGTGTACATTTACGTTTTTTAAATATGGAGAACGAACAATATAAAATCAACAAACTCAAAGATGCATCAAATTGGGACATGTGGAAATTTCAAATGAAGGTTATCATGAATGCAGCTGAAATATTTGATGTAGTAACAGGAAAATCAAAGAAACCAATTTTAGCAAAGATCGGTAATGAAACTGAAGATGAAGCGAGAAAAAGGCATAGCGTTGATTTTTCAATATGGAAAAGGGCAGATAATAAGGCTCAAAAATATATTGTCACGTCGTTAGATGAACAACCTCTACAATACATTATGAACTGTGACACAGCAAATGGTATGTGGAACAAATTACTTAGTGTGTACGAACAGATGTCGGACACAAGCATAACAATAGTACAACAAAAGTTCTATCGTTATACAATGGATCCAAAAGACAATATAGCAGGTCATATTTCAAAATTAGAAAATCTAAGTAGACAACTAAAACAATTGGGAGAACCTATCTCAGAATCAATGTTGATTACAAAAATTTTGATGACATTACCTGATAGCTATAGGCACTTCTACAGTGCATGGGACTCAATGAATAGTGCAAATAGAACGCTAGAACAGTTAACCACTCGATTGATGGTGGAAGAAACACGACAAGTGCAAGGACAGGAGGTCCGTGATGATGTTGCTGAAAGTAGTGCTTTGACTGCAACCAAAGGCAAGTATAATAAAAGTCAAAAATACTTGAACAAAAATGATAATACAAAACCAGGAAAATGCAATCACTGTAAAAAACCAGGACATTGGAAAAGGGACTGCAGGATATTCAAAAGGGAACAAGAAGAAAAGAAATCAACTTCCGGTTTGGCGCTTATTGGTGTACAAAGAAAAAATGAAGAAATCGACGACTCGGACAAATGGTATGTAGACTCAGGTGCGAGCGACCACATGACAAATCGAAAAGAGTGGTTCGTCGATTATAAACATTTTGATGTGCATTCGCTTGTACGTATTGGAGATGGTAAGCACATTATGGCAGTCGGAAAAGGTAACATAAATATTCATACTTATGTTGACAATAAGTGGATAAAAGGCTACTTAGAAAATGTTTTATATGTACCTGATCTAAAGGTAAATTTATTTTCTTGTGGGGCATGCCTTGATAAAGGAATTACAATGGTGACAGACAGTAAAGGTTGCTCATTTAAAATTAATAATCGTGTAATTGCAGTCGGTGTTCGTGAGAATAAATTGTTTACAATGCTAATCAAAACAGATATTTCACAGGAAATTGGACACTGTGCTAACGTTGCAGTTAAGAAATTAACATTAGAACACTGGCACAAAATACTATGTCATCAGAATGTCAAACATGTTCGTGAGTATTTAAAACACAATGAAATACAATTTACAGATATACAAGGACAGTTATTCTGTGAACCATGCATCTATGGCAAACAGCATAAGGAGACGTTCACTCAGAGCGAAACAATAACTACTGAACCAGGGCAAATAATACACAGCGACGTATGTGGACCCATGGAAGAGAATTCACTAGGAGGTATAAAGCATGAAACAAGTGTACCTTATACTCCTGAACAAAATGGAAAAGCTGAACGTTCAATGAGGACTATTTGTGAGGCAGCCAGAACAATGATATATGCCAAGAATTTTCCAAAATCACTGTGGGCAGAAGCAGTCAATACAGTAGTGTTCTCATTAAATTATACTGGTAATTCAGGGAAAGTATGTAAAACTCCATACGAGTTATGGTTTGATAAACTTCCTAAAATAGAAAAGTTCGTAGAATTTGGAATAAATGCATATAGTTTAGTTCCAAAACAACGACGAAAGAAGTGGGATGCAAAAAGTCGAAAAGGATACTTTGTTGGATATTCAGAAACTTCAAAAGGGTATCGTATTTGGTATAAAGAAAATAACGAGGTGTCACTTAGTAGAGACGTCATTTTCAAGGATGAAAATGTTGTAAATTACCAACTTGTAGAATGTTCTAATAACTTAAATGATAATAATAACATTGATGTTCTTAGCTTACACAAAGACGGCTCATTAGAACACAGCAATAAACCAGAAGGAGATGAAGTCATAGAAAATGAATATGGACCAATAAGTGTAGATGACAATGAAAATCAAGAACTTGAACAAGGAAATGGGTCAAATGTCAACGTGTACAACTTGCGAGACAGAAGTAATATTAAGAAACCATTACGTTATGATAATTCAGCATTTTTCGTAGTCGAATCCGATCCAGTGAATTTCAAGGAAGCTGTGGAGTCACAAAATTCAGAAAAATGGGTGGAAGCCATGAACAATGAAATGGAATCTCGTGAACAAAACGGAACATGGTCTCTCGTAAAGTTACCTAAGGACAGAACTATTGTAAATTGTGGTTGGGTGTATAAAACAAAATACAATGTTCATGGACATGTTGATCGATACAAGGCTAGGCTAGTAGCAAAAGGGTATAGTCAAATATTCGGTATTGATTTTAATGAAACTTTTAGTCCTGTAGTAAAGTTCGATTCAATTCGGTCTATATTAGCTATATCAGCAGCAGAACAATTACAACTTCGACAATTTGATGTTCAAACAGCGTTTTTATATGGAGATTTGGACGAAGAAATTTACATGAGACAACCAGAAGGGTTCAACGATGGTACTGAAATGGTGTGCAGACTTCAACGCAGTTTATATGGTCTAAAGCAGTCACCACGATGTTGGAACATAAAGTTCAAAACATTTCTTCTTAACTTTAATCTATTAGAAACAAAAGCAGATCCCTGTGTTTTTGTTAATAGAGAAAATAACAAAGTATTAATCGTTGCTATATTTGTTGATGATGGTCTAGTTGCAGCTACATCGAGTGAAGATGTAAATGCATTAATGGAATATTTGAGACAACATTTCAATATTACCGAAGGAGAATTGAATCAATTTTTGGGTACAGAAATTGTGCAAAAATCTGATGGATCAATTGTAATGCACCAAGGGTTGTATTGTAAAAGAATATTGGAGAAGTTCAATATGACTGAAGCAAATTCAGTTCAAATACCAGCAGATCCTCAACATTCATTAGATGACAAGCAACAAAACACCAATCTAACTAGTAAAGTCCCATATCGTGAAGCAGTCGGAAGCTTATTATATCTCAGTCAGATTACAAGACCGGACATAACTTTTTCAGTAAATCTAGTTAGTAGATACATCGAGGATCCAAAGGAACAACACTGGACAGCAGTGAAACGAATTTTAAAATATTTAAAGGGAACTATTAATTTTGGATTGATATTTAGTTCTAGACAAAAACTCATGTTAAAGGGATACAGTGATGCTGACTATGCAGGTGACTTGGATACAAGAAGGTCAACATCAGGGTCAGTATTTACATTAGGATCTGGAAGTATAGCATGGAGTTCACGTCGTCAACAGTGTGTTAGCCTTAGCACAACTGAATCAGAGTACATAGCTTTAAGTCAAGCAGTACAAGAATTAACTTGGTTAAAATTGTTTTTAGGTGAATTGCTGGACCAGCCAAAAATGGTGCCAACAATGTATGGAGACAATCAAAGTGCGATTAAACTCGTAAAAAATCCAGAGTTTCATAGAAGAACGAAGCACATAGATGTTCGCTACCACTATATAAGAGGAAAGTTCAATGAGGGATTGTTTTCATTGGAGTACATATCCAGCAAGGAGCAGATTGCGGACATTATGACAAAGCCAACTCCACGAACGCGGTTCAATGAGCTAAGGGAGATGTTAGGAGTTATAAGTATTGATGTATAAGGGTATATTGTTTAAGGGAAAGTGTTGGAATTATAAACAAAACACCCTATATAATGTAGTGTATAAGTAATATATTCACACTGTAGTTCAGCAGACGCTGACTGTACATTTTTATAATACTACAGCATAAATGTCTTGTGTAGTGTAGCCGGGTATACATATTACATAGTTAGTCGTTGATTTATATTACGCCTCGTAACACTATTGTACATCGTATCATTATACTTATTATTATATTATATATATATCCGATTTTATTATTATTTACCTTTAACTTCTGTATATCTGTGTACTTCAACAATATAGTATGTACAAAATATAAGTATGTAAATATATATAGTATATAAATACTAATACTGATATTATTTATTATCTATGATTCCGGCTATGTAATATAGGCAATGTGGTAGTTATATTGATTCCTGGTATTAAACTATCGTAGCGTTCGGATTTAGGAGGTACCATAATATATATGTATGTTATAACTTATTAGTTATTACATTTGTCTTAAAGCATTGTGTCGGTATTAAAATATTTTCACAAGTTATTGAATCCCATCGACCACGACAGTGGTGTGTCATTGTGTCAAAGGTATTATTTTGGAGCAATTGCTTTCAACATTTTGGGTTGGTGGGTGGTCCCCCTGCCACAAAATACCTAGCCACCTAGGTGCCTAGATATATCGTAGAAATATGATGTACGATAATACAAATCGTTGCAAATGTATGCATATTTTGTAAATTTTTAATTTAAATTTATTTGCTGAGTTGGAAATGCCGTTATAAACTTCAAGGGTGGAGGGTGGGTGGGTACATCGTATACATTTTTGCTCCTCGAGAAAAATGAGTTCAACACACCACTGGACCACGAGCACATTCGAACACTACGACAACGACCGTAAGTCGTTATACAAAATAATCGATCGATATATAAGCGTAGGTAATATTTGAGCAACGACTGTAGCTTTATATATATAGTATCTATACAGCGAGCCGCTCGTCTGTACTTGATAAATGTGGAGCTCTAGTGTTTAAGATATTTCAAACACTTGTATGGCGTACGGAATTTTGGTGTTAAAAATATTTCTAGTATGCGGAGGTACCTACGTCTATTTAAATACCGTGCGAAAAGACGGTGCATGCGTAGCTACGGATTCACATAATATTTTTATTCGTGCGGAGCTACGGTGTGTCCTGGCGAAACCGTCGTCCGTTTATGAAATATATCGATTTGATCGCTCACGCGTTTCCGGCCGAGAATCTCGAGAATACGTGTATACCTATACAAAGTTGGGTTTCAATACCGTGAATACCGTCGGCTCGTTGACACCTTATTTGTGCCCTGCACTGACGCAGTTGTATAGATGTGACTTGTGAACACGACAGCCATATATATATATATATATATAGCCACGTTATATAGAGAGATTAGGGACGTGGTGTGTAATCGTTTCAACAGCTTTTCATTTTCGTTTTTTTCTCACGATCGTGGCGGTGATTCTACTCCATATCTAATATATTTTCATTGTCTATACGATTAATATAGACTAATGTTTTGTTTCTGTAGACCAAGTCAAATCAGAAAAATACATTCTTAATACCAGGGCTCACTTTTGAAAAAAAAAATTACACAATTTTGATGTTTATCGTTATTCAGAATTTAAACATTAGAAATCCAAGTTATGTGTTTATCGTTATTTAGAATTAAAACGTTATACAAGTTTTCCGTTTATCGTTATTTATAATAGTGTTAATACCTTTTAAATTTAAAAATAACAACTAATGCGTGGTAGGTAATGACCCGGATAAGGAATATAATATAATGAATTCTTAGATTGATTGTATGAAATAAAATGATCCTACGAAACCTTTTAAATAAATAGATTTTAAAATATTTCGTTTTGCGTTATTTTCGTTCATGATATTCTATAAATTTTGCCAACCGTTGAATAAGACATTAAAAGAAGGATTTAATAAACGGTTTGAGAGTTTCTTTTATGATGAAAGTTTGGTTAAAGCAGCTTCATTTAACCCAAGGTTATTATTTTATTTATTTTATTTTTATTTCAATTTATATTATTATAATTTAAAACATAAAAGTATCAAATATTCATATTAACATTTTTATATTATAATAAAATGTTTATAAATTACTGCTGAACATGTTAATTTTTCTCATATAAGAATATGGTTTTTTTTATTATTTTAGATTTAAATTGGCTAGGCTAAAAAGAGATGAAATAAATAGCGTTAAAAACATATTAAAAGATGAATTTAACCTTTTTTTACCACTAGATATTTTACCAGTAGAGAATACTGGAATTGTTCACAGTACTATAGGCAAAAAAAGAGGTTTTTTCAGTTTTGAACATATTAATAGTAATGCTTCACCCGAAGAAGACAGGTAATACTTAAAAAAAAGAACATTTATTAGTAAAGAAAAATAATCAATAATCATACTATTTACATTTTTACTTAGATTCTCTGAATTCAACAGATTTTTTAACGAAGGTTTGAAATCATCAGAATGCTTGGCTGGTTTCCCAATTATTAAAAAAATTTACTTGCGTTACAATACAGATCTACCTTCCAGTGCTTTAGTTGAAAGACTATTCAGTTTTGGAAAGGATGTATTAAGAAACAAAAGATCAAGAATGACTGATGATAATTTTGAACATCAATTGTTATTAAAGTATAATAATAATACTATAATAGTGTAATTTTATATGTATTAAGATTAGTTAATTAATAATTATGTAAATATTTTTTCTGATCTCATACAAGGACTTGCTTGAGTACCAAAAGACTGGTTATATTTTCCTTTTTTGTTTTATTAATTTAAAGAAATATTGTTTTGTTTATTTGTTATATCTATACATAATTTAATAGGACTTATTCTATTTTGTTTAACAAATATAATATTAAAAGATTTTTCTGTTATATTTGTTTATCATACGATAACAATCTACCTGATGTGGATTCAAGGGCAGCAAATGTAAAATACATATAATATGTAAAAAACAGTATTTTAGATTCTTTGTATCATTGAATTCAGATTTAACTCTTCCATCACAATGACCTACTCAACGACAAGGTCCACTTGACACTTACACTATACAGCGAAGCATAAGATGTTCTAGATCCATGCTTGACATCAACTTTTTTAAAAAAATGTTTAGCAAATCAAAATTCTTTGTAATCAGTAATAATTAATCCCCTTGCTGTGTGAAGTCCTTTCTCCCAGTGACCGAATGTCTAATCAGTACAAACTACTAATTATTGGCAATTTTCAATAAAAAGTTTATTTGTTTTGATTTTTGTTACAAAAATACATGAGTTACACTTAATAAACCTGCCTTCCGAAATTACAAGAAAATAGTGTTAGGCATTAACAAAAAAGGAACAAGTACTCAAGTGAATATCTAGAAAAAAACAAAAAAAATTTTAAAAAAAATGTAGCGAAAAAGTAGCACGCTACATTTAAACAATAGCGTTAGAAATAGCGCATTACATTTAAAAAAAAGTAGCTTTAACGACAGCGAGCTACTTTTTTTGGGGAGTAGCAGTAGCGTTAGCGTGCTACAAAAAAACAGTAGCGTCCCGACCACTGGGTATAAACCATAATCAATGTGTACTTGTAGGATGCTCCTGGTCAAAGAGTGCCATCACCCATGCATCAGATTTGGAAGTATAGTTTGGATTTAGGTGAATGGAAAATTATCAATTGCAAAAATGTACCTCAAGAATTAGTAACTAATTATTATATAGTTACACTATCTGGTAACATAATTATTATGTATGGAAGTATTTGAGTTCCATCTGGAGGAATTTGTAGCAACCGCATGTACTTCCGAGTTCTTCCGAGTTGTGGAAGTTTGTCGACAAGTATGGCAACACAACGAGAGTGGTTATTGAATGATCATTTTATGAACGATTGTTTTGCAAATTAATGAAGTACTGACGTGTGGGAGTTCTTCCGAGTTGTGGAAGTTTGTCGACAAGTATGCCTTCACAACGAGAGTGGTTATTGAATGATTATGTTATGAACGATTATTTTACGTTGCTGAAAAAAGAAAATCCGGTGCGAAGGACCAATATGTTAAGACCAAAGAGCTTGTTACGTAACATGTAGTTATCACGATTGTTATCATTCTTATCATTGTAAGGTTATGTACAAATGTCGCAACTTTGTTTTTTTTTTTTTTTTGTTTTGATATACACATCCACATTTTTGCTCAAATAAAATATACAGTCCACACACGATGAATATAACCGATGAATTTACGTGCAAACCACAGGTAAATCATGGACAAACTACGTTGCGTTTTAAATAATTTTGAATTTTCTTGAATGATCATTTTATGAACGATTGTTTTGCAAATTGATGAAGTACCGACGTCTGGGAGTTCTTCCAAGTTGTGGAAGTTTGTCGACCAGTATGGCAACACAACTAGAGTGGTTTTTGAATGATTATGTTATGAACGATTATTTTACGTTGCTGAAAAAAGAAAATCCGGTGCGAAGGACCAATATGTTAAGGCCAAAGAGCTTGTTACGTAACATGTAGTTATCACGATTGTTATCATTCTTATCATTGTAAGGTTATGTACAAATGTCGCAACTTTGTTTTTTTTTTGTTTTGATATACACATCCAAATTTTTGCTCAAATAAAATATACAGTCCACACACGATGAATAAAACCGATGACTTTATTCTTTTTTTCGACAACATTTATTGTCCAAACGAGCCGGAGCGGGATTTTATTTTATCATAAATGTACGTTCGGTACAGTGCGTTCGCGTCATTAACTGCATTCGCGAAGTTTGGTTTTGCGACTACCTAGGTCATTACATAACTTAACTGTAAGCACGTGCAAACCACAGGTACATCATGGACAAATTACGTCGCGTTTTAAATAATTTTGAATTTTATTGAATGATCATTTTATGAACGATTGTTTTCCGAATTGATGAAGTACCGACGTGTGGAAGTTTGTCGATAAGTATGGCTTCACAACGAGAGTGATCATTTAATGACTAAGTAATGAACGATTGTTTTGCAAATTGTTGAAGTACCGACGTTTGGGAGTTCTTCCGAGTTGTGGAAGTTTGTCGACAAGTATGATTTCACAACGAGAGTGGTTATTGAATGATTATGTTATGAACGATTGTTTTGCAAATTGTTGAAGTACCGACGTCTGGGAGTTCTTCCGATATGTGGAAGTTTGTCAACAAGTATGCCTTCACAACGAGAGTGGTTATTGAATGATCAAGTATTGAACGATTGTTTTACAAATTGTTGAAGTACCGACGTCTGGGAGTTCTTCCGAGTTGAGGAAGTTTGTCGACAAGTATGGCAACACAACGAGAGTGGTTATTGAATGACAAGTTATGAACGATTATTTTACGTTGCTGAAAAAAGAAAATCCGGTGCGAAGGACCAATATGTTAAGACCAAAGAGCTTGTTACGTAACATGTAGTTATCACGATTGTTATCATTCTTATCATTGTAAGGTTATGTACAAATGTCGCAACTTTGTTTTTTTTTTTTTGTTTTGATATACACCCCACATAGAAATTTGAAAATATAAATATTTTCAAAATTTTATAAAATGATTTTGTCGAAAATATTATGTTGAAAATATTGAATAGCTGTTTTGAAAATATTTGTTTATAAAATATTTATAAAGAAATATATCCAAATTATTTTCAATACATTGCATACTAAATATTATAATTCTATTTCTAAACAAATATTATGAAAATATTGGTCTGCCAAATATTTTAACCAAAAAATTTTCAATACATTGCGTATAAAATATTACATTAACATTTTCTACAAATATTTTTAAAATTGTTACTGTCCAAATATTTAAGCTCAGATATAATCAAAACATTTTTAAAATACTATCTATCAAATATTATGACGTTCTATCTTAACTTGTGTTTTCAAAATATTGGTCACCCATATGTTATAACTGAAACTTAACCAAAAAGTTTTCATTATATTCATGTAAAATATGTATTTAAAAAAATGTTTCCTATACTTATATATATATATATATATATATATAGCTAGTATTTTATATTTTAAACTATGGTTAGGTATATAATAACTATTATAATAATAATATAATTCATATTATATAATATTGTAGATATGCTTAAAGTATATAGAAAATATCCCCATAATTTTCCTTAAAATTATTAATACATTAAATTAGTTTAAACTAATTCTAATTTTAGGATTTATTATATAATAATAATATACACTGGAAATTGTAATATAAAAGAGATCCCATTTTCTTAATTTCTTATTTATACCTACCAACACTAATAATAAGATATTGTAGGTACTATCTAATTCAACATGATATACTTATTATAACAAGCATTTACTTGTTTTTATGCAACTAAATATAGTGCTCTAAAAATTTGATTAAGTATTAAAAAATTACGATAGAAACGAATACAATTTAGAAACTATTTAATTCCCACTAGGTGCAGTATTATATACTATTAATGGTTACTTATTAATACAGTGGCGTCCGCAGGATTTTTCAATGGGGGGGGGGGGCTTGAAAATGAGTTACATTTTTATTTTATTTTGTCCAGTCTAATAATTTCAGACGTTTATTTGAGGTATTTTAAAATGTTTGTAACTTTTCAAATTTTCTGGTAGAAAAAATGCTCTGATCATAATCATCTAGTTGGTACTTTTAGGTGGTCGAAATTGAAATTTCTCAGTGCTTTTAAAAATAATTGGAGAAAAAAAAATTAAAATGTATTAAAATGTTTGGTTATACCGTCTTCACTTGGATTGTATTTGAATAATTAAATTTTTTTTTCTATATAAATGTCAAAAAAAAATTATTTATCCGGTTAAAAACCTTAAAAATGTAATACATAAGTTATTTTATTATAGCTAAAATATTAACGATACATAGGCATAGTGTTTGAAAATTTCATGAAATTTAAAAAAATGAAATATTTCAGTAGGTATTTTGATATATATTTTGTTTTATTTTAAATAAGTTTTATATTTACATATAATTGTCATAAATTACCTTCATAACTATATGGTACCTGTATGTATACCTAACCTTTGGTATTATACATTTAAAATGGTATTCAAAATTTTTAAATATTTTAATGTTTAAATGATACAAGTAGGTATACAATATTATATTATTATACATGTATATTGTATAAATACTGAATTCTGTCATTAGAATTTAGAACACTGAACATTGTGTTAAAAAAATAAATAAATTGTGTTTTTATTTGTGTAAAAAAATGTCAATGTGTCACTTTTTTGTGAAATATTTGATATTTCATACTTCAAACACTACATAGGCACCATGGTTATTTTTTATAAGCATTTAAAGTTCAAATTTCGTCAAAATGACAGTTAATTTGTAGTTCAAAACTTATAAAATATGCAATATATATAGCTAAGGCTAGACAATGTAATACAAGGTCTTTCATACAAGTAGTTCTTACTTTTACCTAAAAATTACAGATAATTTATGAAAATTGGTATGCAAATACAATGTTCTTTAAAAAATGAATTCATTCTGGTAAGACATATATGAAATTTACTTCTGGCTTACTATAGTTGACAGTTTAACTTGATTAATATTTTTTTGAAAAAGTAACAATAATACGGGCAATGGGGGGGGGGCTTCAGCCCTTTATCCCCCCCCCTGTGGACGCCAC